ACTATTTTTAATCATTATATCTATGAATCACTTATATTTATCGAGAAATATTCAGTCATCTTCCACTATAATACCATATGATGTTCTTTAGATTTAGTGCAATAAGATGATGTTTAAGTTATATCATGTTTTAAGTAGCAATTGGCATAACACTTAATGGTTTCTTACCTACTTCTATATCTTTTATAGGATTTTTTAATTAGTGAGTAAATGCTCAGATGCTCAGCACCAAAAAAAAAAAAGCAACAACAAAAAGTTGTGTATCATAATGATTATTCCCTATCAGATACCTTAGACACATACTCCACTGATCATTTCTTATCAGATTAACAATGATCTAGCAACATACCTTATTTTTTTTAAAAAAAAATAAGGTACATATGAGTTTTTAATATTAGATAAAATTTATAACATAATAATTACTAGCAAGAAAAGTTATTTTTTCAAAAATTCTATGATTTTTACATGTAATTAAATGAACTTATGTAGAAGGGGGCATTGGGTAATTTGGTATTGCTAGAGATACAAAAGCCCTTAAAAAGAGTACGTAAAAAGAGAATATGAAGATCTACATGGATATCTTAAAAAGAGTATATGAAGCTATACATGGATCTTATAGGGATATACATATATCCTCATATTTATGTTATTTACACTTAACAATTATGTATAGCTGGGCACTGTGGTGCACATCTTTAATCCCAGCAGCTGGGGAGGCAGAGTCATGAGTCAAAGTCAAGTCAAAGCCAGCTCAATAGCTTAAATAGGCCCTAAGCAGCTTAACAAGACCCTGTCTCAAAATAAACAAAAAAAAATTTAAAAAATATAAAAAATTATTGGGGATGTGGTTCAGTGGTTATGTGCCCCTGACTTCAATACTTGCATTAAATAAATAAAATATTTTAAAAAATATTATGTATGTCTGTCCACATAAAATAATGTGAATTAAGTTTTAAAAAGTTGTTTTTTGTTTTAACCCATTAAGGTTGGTACATTTCATAGTAGAGTAAGATGATAAATAGTACCTCAGCCAGGAGATCAAGTTCAACATCGACTGTCCTCCTTTATGTTAATAGTATATGTCTGCATTGACTTGGTTATTATCTTTCTCCACTGGACTCTTAAGTTGGAAGCTTGGTCTCCAGTGTGGGGGTGTTACGAAGTGGTAAGGCCTTTTAAGAGGTGGAGCCTAGTGGAATATAATTAAGTCATTGAGGCACTGACCTTGGAAGGAATTGGTGTAGTTCTTGTGGGACCCCTTCAGTTAGTACTTGAGAGAGTCAGTTGTTTAAAAAAAAAAAACAAAAACAAAAACTCTGACCCCTTTCATGGTCTTGCAGGTTCCTGTCTTACCATATGATCTTTTCCTTTCACATATTTTTTCACCATAGATGCCATCTGCCATGATTTCCTGTAGCCAAGGAGAGGCCCCTTCCAAAACTGGTATCATATGGTTTTGGCATTCAGCTTCCAAAACTGTGTGCCAAATAAAGCTCTTTTCTTTACAAAGTACCCACCTTTAGGTATTTTGTTATAGCAATGGAAAATGAACTAATAAAGGACCTGTGATACCATGTGATGAAAATGATAGTTCATCTCTATTACCTTCCTCCTTAAAACTCACATCTGCAGTGTAATCACGAGAAAAACATCAAACATATTCTAAAAATACTCTCAAGCTCATCAAAAATAAGGAAATTGTGAGAAACTGGTACATCAAAAAGGAGATCAAAGAGACATGACAACTAATAGTAATTAGTTCTAGTTGAGATGCCAAAACAGAAAAAGAACATTGGTAAAAACTAAGAAAATCTGAGTAGACTATGGACTTAAATTAATAATAATGTATTATACAGATCAATTAGTTGTAATCAATGTACCATATATATTAATTTAGGATGGTAATAGTAGGGGAAATTGGGTGGGTAGAAGTGAGAAGTATAAGGGAACTCTATGTAGTATCTGCTAACTTTTTCTATACAGATAAAACTGTTGTAAAAATAGTCATTAATTTTAAAAAGCAGGTTAAAGGACAAAATTAAGTGACTATACCTTTTAATGTCACAAACATCTCTAAGAATTCTGAGGAATGATATTATGAAGAAAATTTAGTTTTTTATTGAAACTTTTCTAAGAACTTTTATTCAATTTGTAGAGAAACGAAATTAATTAATAAAAATTGTAGAAAAACAAATATTTATACTTTGAAACACATTTAGTAATATGCTTACATATATATATATATAACGTAAAATTCACATACAATCCTTCCATTTATTGAAATAATCCTGTAATTTCAAGGTCTTCTTTCCTGTGCAGATTTGATGCAGTCTATATCTATACAGTATAATATAGCCTTTTCTACCTTAACTTTTCTCAATTTATCATGGATATTTTGCCCTCTCTGCCCTTAGCATAATCAGAATGCTAAGTCTAAGACAAAGGTCTATTTTCATTAGCTTTGATATGTTGTATCAACTTAGAAAAATTGTATCAGGTTATAGTTTAGAAAAATTGTATCAGGTTATAGTTTAGAAAAATTGTATCAGATTATACTTCCATTACCATGTTCACAAAGTACAGAGGTCAGAAACTGGGTCTAACCAATATTTAAAGATCTGGGGATTTCCCTTATGAACCATAAATCCTTGGTTCCTTTTGAAAAATCAGTAGATCAAGCAATAGTGGGCCACATTCTTCTATGAAAACAGTAGACTGGAGTTAAGTAAGAACAGCTAAGGAAGTGACTGTTGTCACTTCCTTTTACTTATACTTCTAAAAAATGGTTTAGGGCTGGGGTTGTGGCTCAAGGGTTGAGTACTCACCTCGCACATGCAAGGCCCTAGGTTCGATCCTCAGCACCACATAGATAAATAAAATAAAGATACTGTGTTCAACTACAACTAAAAAATAAATGTTTTTTAAAAATGGTTTATTTTAGAAATTTACTTCTTATGACTATATTTCTAGGAAAAGTGATAAAAGAGTGAAAAGAAAATGGAAGCAATACAAGTTACTTTGTGGAAATGAAGAATACATTATGGTTTAACATGTATAAATATCTTATTTATGAATTAAAATGCTATAATTTTAAAACAATTACAGCCATATTATTTATTTTTATTCTCTTTCTGATTCTTATGCAAATTTGGGGGTGTCCTTACTTTCATAGTACTTTATGTTGTAGTGAGAATTTTGAAAGAATGCTGCCTAAATAATCTTTATTGTTAGAAATATTAATAATATTAATAGAAATAGTATTATAAATAAGTGTTGATTTCAGTGGTAATATGAATTATTGGAACATTTATTCTATTCATGAATATTTTATTTTTTATTATTGTAGCTTCTTGATAAAATATTAATTATTTTATATTCTTAACTGTAATCTTATAATCCATTGGTGATTTAGATACTTTATTTTATAAAGAAAACTAGATTGCTTATTGGATATACCAATAAACTAAAATTATATTTCTTCTGTATTAATCTAAATTTTTTTCTTTGACCTTGAACAAATTATACAGAATTTATTTAGCAAATGATGTTGGTATATCTTCAATTATTTTATTAATGGCAAACTAGACAAGAGCAGGAAGCCTTTGAAATTGTTTAAATTAGTTACCAATCAAAGGAAATATGTGTAGATGTCAAAATTTTGATTATAGAATAGTAGGAAAAACAAAATAGCAAAATTTGGGGAGTATTTTAAAATAATAAGGAAAAATACTGCAAAATCATTTGCTCTTACAAAAATCAAAATGCTTTAAGTATTTTAATGTGCCAAACAAGGTAATGGAGTAATATGACAGTACAATAAAAACAACACTTTGAAGAAAATGTTTAATAGTATCATAGGCAGAAAAATAAATCAGGTTATGTAAATATGAGGAAAATAAAATGATATAAATCTAAGGTAATCCCCTCATCTCAAAACTTATAGGTTATAATTAAGAAAATGTTGCCTATCCCACCAAAAAAAGAAAATGTAGGCAAACTTGGAAAGGAGACAGTGTTTACTCTTCTTGATACAAACATATATATAATATTCTCCCTTAGGAATATCATTTAGGAAATTGGGACTCTGTATTACATGCAAATATTTTCAGGGCTAATTGATCCATATTGATAATATTCAAAAGGTTTGACATTCTTTGGGTAAATCAGCAAAACCTTTGTTTTCAGTATGATTCAGTATTTTTATTTTTTATAAAGTAAGTGTTTAATTGAAATAGCATATGTATCATTTTTATGGTATCATACATATTCAGTGGCAAAGGGAGCAGTATTCTAGTATAATCCTAATCATTATAAATAGATTTCCTAAGTTTGATTTTTTTGTGATTTCTTTTGTTAAAAGTGGGGGTTTATCATTATGACTTTATGTGACATAAATAAATTTCAAAAGAGAATGGTTAATAGTGGATTGAATTCTAAAATATCATGAGGTCTTAAGAAGTCATTGTTAAATTATGATACATTAAAAGGTAATTGGATTTACAGTGTTACTGGTTTCCTTTTTCCAGCTTTGTATTCTGTGATATTATATGACTTTTGATCAGATGGTAGATTGAGTAATTTGTGAGGAAATACATGCTTGATCATAAGTTTAAGATAATTAAATTACAGATGAGTGGTATGTACCATGCATTTATGAGTTAAATTTTTTTCTTCCTCACATGTATATGATAATGTTGTTCATAAAAATATTTGTGTAGACTCTTAGTTATTTTACTGAAAAATAGCTTTCCACTTGAATAATAATGCTTAACTAATTGTAGTTCCCTTTTTAAAAAATGTTTGGTCTTAGAACCCAAACCCATGCCCCTGTACATGCTAAGCATGTATTCTACCTCTGAACTATGACCCCAGCCTCTTATAGTTTATAGTTTATTGTTATAATAAAAAAATTTCTGAATATTTAGGCTTTATATAATATATATTTGCATATATTTGTAAATACAATAATATATAAACCAACTAATGTTTTTTTTAAATAGTTATCTCTACAGCCATCATTATCGAGCTTGGAAACATTAATGGTCTCACAGAAGTCTGAAATTGAGTATTTACAGGAGAAACTGAAAATAGCAAATGAAAAGCTGTCTGAGAACAGATCTACCAACAAGAGTTTCTCAGAGAAGAGCATCATGACCAATACTGAAGGAAAACTTAAGGTAGAGGCATTTTGTTGTTTTATGAATTTATCAAGATGAGACTGGCTTGGCAAGAGATGATGTTCAACAACTTAGAACATATACTTCTCTGATTATGTTTTTGGAAATTTTAAATAAATATTACACGTTAAATACTGAATAAAATGCCTCCTAGGAAAAGGGAGTTTTCCCTTTTCAAAGATGGGATACTATAATCCTAAATTAATTAATTCAGTACTAGGATGTTATTAGTAGTGTGTCTATTTTTCCATTAATATTCTTATATTAAAATTTTTTTCTTTAAACTTTTTAAAAAATATATTTATTTATTTATGTATCTATAGTTTTAGGTGGAAATATTATTTTGTTTTCATGTGGTGCTGAGGATTGAACCCAGTGCCTCATGCATGCCAGGCAAATGCTCTACCACTGAGCCACAATCCCAGCCCATATTAAAAATTTTTGATAAGCATCCCTTATCTGATATAATCATCTGATTAAAAGTTTATTTTAATATTCATTTACTCATTTTTAAAATTTTGATTAAAATAAAAATGCATTCAGTATTTTTTATCCTGATATGATATTTATAGTATAATACATATAGAATATAAAATAATAAATGGATTTTAATATTAACTTGTGCATTTATTTATTTGTAATTAAAGGATGGTAGTAGGGAAAATTAGCATATTTACATTATTGTAAAAATTTTCTTAATGTTTCAGCTTTTACTTTTTTTTTTTTTACTATTTTTTATGTATTTGTATTATACTGCAAAAGATTATACAGAATTTTACCAATATAAAAATTCCATAATATTATATCATAATTCTAGTACTTCTAGGTAAGTTGAAATAATTTTCTCTAAACATAAGGAGTTTAAGATATATTTTTGTTAATACTTTATTTAATCAACAGTAGAGGAAAAATATTTTTTATAAGTAAAAGACTGTTTTAAAGATAAATTATTTTTTATTCTATTTTTCTTGTGAATAGAACAAACTATCATAATAAAGAAAACATTTAAAATTAGACCCATTTTTCTTTAATTACTTAGTACTCTTACTCCCTATAAAATTGTTAATTATTTTCAGAGGAAAGAATTTTATTCATTTACTAAAACATAACTATATTATGTATTCTTACCATTTTGAAATAGTTTTGCAAGCTTTATCTGAATGAAAGTAAATACAGCTAAAATTGAAATATATCATTATAGGGCCTAATTTGACTTCTTGCTGAATTGCTGAAGTTTAAAATTGTACTGCTTTGACTTTTTACTATTTTTGATAAAATTTGAGAAGAGGAGAGGTGTATTTTAAGAAAAATTTTCTTTCTTTTTTGTGAGGATGAATACTATGTTGCCCAGCTTAATAGTTGCTTTCACATATTCCTTCTCCAGATTGGTATATGAAGCTGTACATAATACAAACACACATTCTTGTCTCTAGTTAGCCACATTGTAGTTAATGACCATATGGTCATTATGGTATAAGATCTACTGTCTGTTGTATTTATATTCCTCAAGCATATTGTTCCTTCAACTTCACTGTGTGTTAAACTATTTCAAAGGGAAAAAAATCCTTTCCCTCTTGTTTCTGGTTGTCCTATCAAGTGTAACCTTGGACCCTTATAGAGCAATTAGACCAGCCTCTATCCCCTCCTTTGTAATGAGGTTTCTTGCATTTCTGAGTCTATAACCCTTTAGTCTTCCCTAATGGGACATCATTATTCTGAAAGAAACAATGTAAATGTAAATGAATATTCTCATTAACGAGTCACAGAGAAACCTTTAGCGGTAGCACTGTGGTAATTCCGCTTGTTATTTCTCTGTATTCCATGCAGGATTTTTTTTATAATTCATTATTAGTATTCAAAATTACTTGTTCTTTAATTTTGCATGTCTTTCATAATCCGGTGTTTCAACTAGTTCAACCATGTCCTTGTTTTATTCTCCAGGAACCACCTGTGAAACGTTCAAGGTCTTTGTCCCCAAAGAGCTCTTTTGTAGACTCAGAGGAGCTGAGGAAGCTGAGAAGAGCTGAAAGAAAGATTGAAAACTTAGAGAAGGCCCTACAACTAAAGGTGAAAATTAAATCATATCTTTAATAATAACCATGCTATGATAAAACTATACTAAAGTAAACAAATATTGCACAAATAATGGCTTGTCATATTTCTTTCCTGAATTTAATTACCTGTACAAAAGCATGCAATCAGCTAATCTGGTTTTTAATTTTTCTGAGGATCATAAAATAATACAAAAACATTTGCTATTTAAAAACTAAATATTTATTCACTACTTTGAAATTATTTGGAATATTTTCATTTAAACTTTGGACTAAATTTCTTATTGTTTCCTCAAAGACAAAAACAAAGAACTATAACAAATGGAAAAGAGTTTCTTGTTCTTTATATATGATAAATGTCTGAAAATAAAAATGAGTTAAAAATCATATTAACAGGCTGGGCCCAGCAGTATATGCCTATAATCCTAGCTACTCTGGAGGCTAACTCAGGAGGATTGAGAGTTTGAGGTTAATCTGGACGATTTAGAAATATCCCATCTCAAAAACAAGACCAAACCTTTCAAATTAGCTCAGATAACATACAGTTAAGTTATCCTTTGTATGAAAATTACATAGTCAAAGTGGCAAAAAAATTGCTCTTTTTTTTTTTCCATTTCAAATGAATTTGTCTCAGAACTTGTGACTTTTGAGTATTCTGCCTAGGTTTAACAAACCTATACCTGATTGGTTTGTCTTTGAGAGCTTTTACTTTCTGATTCAGACTTAATGAATTCTCTTAAACAGAGGAGATCATTCATGCATATTGAACCAATTTTTATGTGACTACATTAAGTGTTTATTTGTTTTTTTGTTTATTTTTGTAGTGCTAGGAATTGAACCCAGGGCCTCACACATGCTAGGCAGGTGCTGTATTACTACACCCTAACTCCTCAAAGGCTTTTATTTTTTCTCTGATTTCAATATAGCAAACTTCATTTTTTATTTATAATTATCTAAAGCCTTTCCATACTGAGTTTCAGTCATATAATCGATTCTCAATAGTTTTACACCATTCTGTGTCAGGTCCAATGCTTTATGTGTGATTACATAATCAATCACACCCCCCCCCTTCCCCACCCAGTGTTAGGGCCTAAACCCAGGGCCTGTGCATACATACACCAAAGGGATATATATGTGTGTATATTTATGTGTGTGAGTGTATAAAAATATATACGTGTGTGTGTCATACACATGATTTACTATAAGGAATTGACTCACAATTATGGAGGCCAAGAAATCCAAGATATGTAGCTGTGAAGCTGGAGATCCAGGAGAGCCCATGATATAGCTCCAGACTGAGGCTATAGAAAAAGGAGAACTGATAGTATAAGTTCAAGTCAAGTTCATGTTTCAGTATGAGTCCAAAGGCAAGAGAAGACCAATGTCCCAGCTCAAAGATACTTGAGTAAACAGAATCAAATCTTTTTATACTCAGTTTTTAATTCTATTTGATCTTTCAACTAAATGCCCTGAATATTAGGGAGGACATCTGCTTTACTCAGTGTATTAGTCTATTTTTTGTTGCTAATAGCCAATATCAGAAGCTGGATAAATTATGAAAAAACCAGGTTTGATTTGTCTCATAGTTCTGAAGGTGAAGCTTAAGGAATCACATCAGAAGATACCTTCTTGATGGTAGAGTTCTCAAGTAGTACAAGGCATTACAAGGCAGGAGACAGGATGTGCATATGTAGGTTTCTCTTCTGCTCTTTCTCCCTCTTCTTATATGGCCACTGACTGGGATTCAATCACAGAGGTTTCATCCTAATGATCTTGTCTAATCTTAAACACCTTCCAAACTTCCTACCTATAAGCACCATAGTCAGATTGTTTCCACCTTCTTAATATCACACAGTGGGCACACTCAAACCATAGCATTCAGTATATTCATTAAAATATTATTCTCATTCAGAAAGATGGAGAAATTCTGTTTTAATCAGGTATCTGGCAAATTGACATATTAGATACATATCCATTCAACAGTAGAGGATCTTCAACCATTTGTTCTCAAAGATCTATAAATCCCTTATTTTGGCAGTTAAGTGTATAGCAATTCAGTGGCATTTTAGATCTAGTCTCTTATCATCTGTCTCTTGAATTCCTTGTTTAAAAACAGAATATCAAATAATTATATGATTTATTTCCTCCTCCTTTTTTTTTCCTGACCACACCCTTCTGGGAGGAAGCCCCAATTTTATTTTTAGAGTAAAGTTCTTTTTTTCATAAAACTTTTTTTATAGTTTACCTATATTCATATTTTTAAAAATATTTATTCTATAGTTGTAGTTGGACACAATAACTTTATTTTACTTATTTATTTTTATGTGGTGCTGAGGATCAAACCCAGGGCCTCGCCTGTGCTAGGCAAGTGCTCTACTGCTGAGCCATGTCCCAGCACCCCTATATTCATAATTTAAGTCAATTAATAATTATGAGTTTCAAATTTATGTCACTGCAAATTTGCAAAATTAGGCAAAATTAGAGCAAAGATTTTTTTTCTGTATATTCTCTTTGAGTGAATTTTTTTATTTTAAAGGAGAGAAATATATTATAATCACGGTCACTTAGGAAAAGAAGTAGATAAACAAAATCTGTATAGTAAAGTAATTCCAAAGAGTGTGGCTGCGTTCAAAGTAACTTTTTAATCAATAGATTAATGTTGGTCTAGTAATGGTAATTGTATTTAATAAAGATAGAAGATGTCACTTTATAATCTCATTTATTATTCTGTCATAATAATATTTCTATTACTCTGTTGCATGTAAGTATAAAGTAAAATAGTAATTATTTGGTAGTTGGGGTACAGTTCAGTTGTAGAACACATGTTTAGCATACAACAGGCCTCGGATTCCCTGGCAGCAAACACAGAAAATAATAATGTGACTGTACTTTTTCTAAGTGTTCTGTAAACAAGTACCACAAACTGGGCAGCTTAGAGCAACTGAAATTTATTGTTGCAAGTTTCTGTAGGCTAGAAAAGTCTAAAATCAAGGTGTTAGAAGAACTGCTTTCTTCTGAGGTCTGTGAGGGAGAATCAGTTTCGTTCTTAGCTTTTGGTAAATTTAGATTTTCCTTGGTTTATAGATTACATTTTCCCTATGTCTTCATATTATCTTCCCTCTCTGCATATCTATCTCCTTGGGTCTAAAATTCCCTTTTCTTTAAGAATATCAGTCATATTGGAATAGGGCCCACCTAATTATGTGTTTAACTTGATTATCTCTGTAAAGACCTTGTGTCCAAATAAGACAAGTTCTGAAGTATTGGGAGTTAGAAATCCAATGTAATTTTTTTGTAGGAGGGGAGGCAGGTGAACACAGTTAAATGAGTAACTGTTGGATTTTAAAAGACATTTATTGAACTTGATTTTTATTTGTGGTTCATCACCCACTTATACATGTGGAAGTTTTGTCGTGGCCTTTGTTATTCTATGAAATATTGCTCTGTAGAAACTCATGAGAGTATGGTAGATAAAAAATGGTCCATGCTCAAATGATTATTGAAAACAATTGATTAAAAGGTTTACTTTTTGTGAATCTTTAACATATCAATTTACATTGTGAATCTATAAATAGGTATTCCTGGATTTACTTGGTTATGTTACTATTAATATTTTCCAAAAGGTGGCTGCTTTTCCATGGAAGATAACATGGGACATACTGAAGTAAAGACAAAAGTCATATTCCAAGGCATTGTAGATAGCTCTAGGATTCCAAGTTGTTTACCTAGGCAAATTAAAAGATGGGAGAGACAAATAGGTTTCAATAGTAGCCCATGGAACCTGTATATATGGATTTTTAGTACATTGACATGATGTACTGTCTTGTCAGCAGTAAATTATGCATACAAATATTCTAATGCTAGTTATTAATTTTCTACAAATATTAACCCATTAAGTTGTTCTACTTACTCTTGTGAGTAGCTATTCATATTTTCAAGGTGGGTGACTCTTGTTATAATAAATAAGCAGATATAGTATGGAAGAAATTAAAGTTATTTTTAATAAAACTTCCATTTATAATCTTGACTTCATAAATATAATATTATAGCAACTTATAAAATATAGTTTGGAAATCTGAATTAGAGACTATGAAATCCTTACTATTCTTCAGACTGTTAATGCCATGAAAATCCCTGTTTTACTGATTTTCTTACATGTGGCAACATGATTTTATTAGCAGTTTTCAATGCCATTTACCAGCATTAATTTGTTGAATAAATTTTATATGTATTTTTTTCAATGTTTTGATATATATATACACTTTATACATTCTGCTGAAATTAAACATTCACACTGGAATCCTTGATATTATATTAAAATTTTTCATTTGTTTTTTTTTCCTACTCCTCTAAAGCCTTGTTCTTATTCCCTGAAAATCAAGTTACTATTTCATGAATAGAGTTTATGCTCTTAATTCACCTTATTCTTATGAAGTAACTTTTGAGCAACCAAATTAGGTTAAGAATTGTTTTTGTTCTTATGAACTTACTTAACAGAATTTGAAAATATCTTTAAGGATAGCCAAGCAATTCAGTTTTCCTATTTTATATTTTCTAATGTTCAGTCTTCAGACTTGTTTGTACACAAAAGCCTATATTTTAATTACAAGTTTCTTGGAAAATACTCAACCAATGATTTATAGAATGATTTTATGAGTGGCTCTAATTCAGCAGCTGCCTATGGAATATCTTTGTGTGTATCCTTTTAGGAAAATGCATTGATTAGTGCTATAAAATGTACTTATCAGTCTTTAAACTTGATTTTGTTATAAGGTCTTTGGTGGTAATATTTCCCAAATAAACTACTATTTTTTTATTTTGGCTATATGTCAAATGAGATTTGAAGAATCATAATCCAAACTACAGTTAGCCTGACTTTGTGAGAAGGTTATGAAAAAGTATTTTGGTTATTCCTTCCAACTATTTTTTCTGAGATAACCAACTTTTGATAGATGGGTTCAGCTAACATCTGTTCTTGCAGTATTATAATAGAAAAATATTTTTGTGAATTCTATCATATTTACATTCTGTAAAATTTTAGTATTTCTGAAATAGGACAAAATAAAATCTGTGACTGAAGTTCCATTTTAAAAGAATTATTATTGTAAATTACATCTGTTAAATTGTTTTATAAATAATCTACTTTCATTTTTAATGGTTTAGATTTTAATTTTATAAAAATTATATAAACACTCTGGTTTTAGTTATAATAAATTAAAAAGCAAGTAAAATTAAAGCACAAAACATATGTATAAAACTGTTTTCCTAAAATCACTACATAATAAAAAGAACCACCTATTTGAATTATTATAAGAAAACCAAAATTATTTTGTAATATTGAACAGTTTACCTTTGGGAAGCAGATGTAGTTGCATTCAGTAATTTGATTCTTTGTTATGTCTAGTACAGAACCTAGCACAACATAAATGATATATGGATTCAGGAGATGAATTAGGGAAAACTATTGGTAGAAATTCAGTGATTAATAGTAGCTGGGGTAGTACTAAAAAGTGCTGAAATAGTGACAATACTAATTAGAAATTCAGTTCATTTCATTAATTCAACAGAGGATCAATCATGAATAGTAATTGATTATATTTGGATGTCTCATTATATTAATTTTCACTTTTTGATCAAACTTAAAGGTTCCATTTTCTTAGAATTTTTAATGATGTTTAACACAGAACTAAATGATCCCTAAAACACTGGGCTTTATATGCAATACTTTTAAAGAAATTCATTGTAAGATAAAAGTTTATAGTCAATAATTTTTATTCCATAAATAGTAATTATAGCAGCTATTTTAAAAGTCTTTGATGTAATCATTTTAGTTTAATTATGAATTTATTCAAAAATTGTTTTGACATGACTCTTTTCTAATATGACCTGTAAACCTAATTATTTTATTAATATTTCTAATACATTGTGTTAAAATTCCTAATGAAACTTTTAGTTCTCAAGGAATCCCACTAAACATAATTACCTTATGTCACCTATGACAAGATATTAACATTATTGTTAGTTTTCTATATAACTAAATTTCACTTACTTAGGATTTATTCACCTACTTGAGATTAGAAGTTTTTAGTTTGATGAATAAAGTGACATTTAGATTCTTTATTGAACAGTATTAGAAATTCAAGTTCAAGTTCCTAATAACTACTTAATAGAAGAATTTTGCTAGGAGCATATTCAAGGTAGAACAACAAAATATCATACTGCTGAGACAACTAGAATTACAGTAAAATGAGGTAGACTGTATTATAAAGTAGTATTTCCCTATTCGTGGGAGGTAAATGGTCAAGGAAATAGTGAATTTTAAAGGAATAGTACAGTACATTTTATACCTGGGAAAAGGAAATGATAAGAGGCTAACTTTAGTTTTGTACCTCTCTAGGATAGGCACAAGCGCCAGGGCCTCAGCCTACTTAAGCCTTTTTTTTTCTTTCCTCTATTTTATAGGAAATGAAATTTAATTAGTTTGAATAGTGTTCTTAAGATTATATAGCTAACAAGAAAAACAACAAGAATGGAATTCTGATCTTCCTGGTTACCATAGGCTTCCCATCTCAAGTACCTGTTTCTCCCAGCAAATAAGCATCGAAGTTCACTCATAGAAATACAAATAGGTTTTCTAAATTATTGAAATTCTCACAGGGAAGAAACTTTATTAAGTTTACTTCAAAAAACACAAATAATAAGTAATGTGAATACATCTTTTGAGGACAAGGAATGTGGCCTTGACGAGTTTGTCACATCTGGTGAAAATTTATCTCATGTACAATATAGTTAGAATTAGTTGACTAATTGTTTAAGCTAGATTTTGAGATAACAAAATAGTGTTTGAACTGTCTATTATATGACCTCAAGAGCACTAAGCTTATTTCTCCACTTTCAGTTCTTCATGGTAGAACCCAAAAAGATTAAATTATGCTACTTTTTGTATAAGTCTAGCCTTATTTTCTTCCTTTTGTGTAATCCTTGTGCTTTATTCTATATTAATTTATGGCTCTGTGGCCTGAAGAATTGGTCTTACTACTATGATTAATGTCCCTACATTTTAACAAAATATTCTTACTTTATGTAGGGTCAAATCCTTTTGTTGGTGATTAAGAAAAAAATAAAAATGTGTTAAATGACCTTCTGATATATGTATATTAATTAACAAGGAAAAAATGAAACTAATTTCATAGCAGAATTTGGAAATTACATTAGCAATTTAAAAAACTGTAGTTGAGTAGGTTATATTTATCAAGCAAACCAAATCTTCAACTTGAGGAATTCTTTCCTTTCTTCACTTAAATAACTATTACAAATGCATTCTTATTTACATATTATTATAAACTTTCAAATTTCATATTTAAATTGGTAACTTTTTCTTTGAAAAATTACACCAGTGTTTTCATCAAACTTTTATACTTGCTTTTTTTGTGTTCTGTAGAGCCAAGAAAATGATGAGCTAAGAGATGCCCATGAAAAACGCAAAGAAAGGCTACAGATGTTACAGACCAACTACAGAGCAGTAAAAGAGCAATTAAAACAGTGGGAAGAAGGCAGTGGCATGTGAGTTACATAGCTCATAAAGACATTTCCCTAAATATTAAATGGAATGGAGTAGCATTATATAGGTGTTTTAATGGCTTTTGTTTGGTTTTAAAGAAATTATTTGGTAGTCACATTTTTATTGTGAGTTTTTAAATAGAGAACATAATGAATGAAAGTACAGAAATGTACTAGCTATAACTTAGATTTTCCTCATTTGCAGATGACATTAGTAGTTGGTGATTATGAATTATTGTATTTTTACAATTAATAGACTAACTAAATAAAAGCATACATTTAATACAAAAATAATTAATATTCATATGCTTGAAATCCTGCTTTTGAATTAATAAAATACTTTAAAATGTGTATAACCACCAAAGTGTTTAAGTTTTAATGGAAAGACAAGAGAAATATTAAATTCACACATATAGTTAACTATCTTAAAACTACTTGAACCTAGTATGCAATTTGAAGATCTTTACTATCCATCAGTTTGTTCTCCAGCTTATCTGAATGAATTGGTGGTCTCAGTTCAATTGCTCTGAACAGGTGTTCAGATCTTGGTTAGTCGTAAGTGGCTCCCCTGTTAACAGTATTAACAGAGGGCAAAGGACTGAATGAGTACAGAAAATCTACTACCCTCTCATCTTCTGAGATGGATCCTTTAGGGCAATGTTGATGATACACATTGGTCTGCTCTGCAGAGAAATACTGTTTCTAAATTGGCCAGTACAGCACTTTTTAAAAATAAAAATGAAGGGTTTGTTTTATGTACAGAAAAGGAAAATGTAAAGGACATTTGGCATCACTTGTAGATAATTGTCACATCTAATTTTTTCCTTTGACAAATGGAAAGTGTTTCGTATTGTGTGTCAGTAAGCAGCAATAAAGTGATTTGTCCTAAGTTTTAGCATCTCCTCAGTGTAAGAGTGAAATCTCTTTTCTGACATGTTCATCACTAAAATCTTGTTCTAAGATAGGGCATGTATACCACATTCAGATTGGGTGGCAACAAACTCTAGATGATCACTTATAGTTTTTTTTTTTTTTTGGAGACTGCTATAGTTCTATAGTGTATTTTTCATTACTAATGGACTAGAATCAGAGGAATAAACCTAAGAATATCATGTGTCTGATTAAAATTTTGCTTTCCACTGTAGAGGTTTAACTTTAGGAAATTAGAATACAGGATTTTAATTTCTACACACTTCAGTTCTAGGAAATTTATCACATTTATCTATTAGTGAGTGTGAATTACAAATTCAAAATTTGGTCTTAGATACATAATAATTTTAAGAAATATGTAATTTACTTTATTTAGTTTTTATTGCACTTTGAATATGTTACGGAAAAAAGCAACTTTATTTTAAAAATAGGATTGAAATCAGAAAAATAAAGAGAGCAGATCCCCAACAACTTCGACAAGAAGATTCTGATGCCGTGTGGAATGAACTGGCATATTTCAAAAGGGAGAACCAGGAACTAATGATTCAAAAGTGAGTTTTTGGTTTTGCTTTGATTTTTACAATATAGAGGTAGATAAACATTTGTGAGGCATTATTTGTGACTTAAAGATACTAGACAAATACCTAATAAATTTTAAATGAAATAATCTGGATTGTGCCGATAGAAATAACAACAACAAAAGATTAGCTTTGCATACACACACGCACGTACACACCGGCACACACACACACACATATGTGTTATGAAATAACAAGTTGCACATTTGCTAGCTCTAACAGAAACTGTATAATATGATCTAGGGATTGTGTTAATTAATGTGGCTCTCATCTGTTGGAGGTGTCGCTCTTCATTAGCCTGTATTTTAGACACTGCCGTGCTTCATTTTTGGAATGAGGTGGAGAGGGGATAACCTAGCCAGCCATCCTTGTTTGATCTCCTAGATACATACGCAATGCAGAATGCCTGAGCTCTCTTGGTTCCCTGCCCTGTCCTGCTAATCCCAGCTGAGCTCATTATGGTGTAGCCTTGCTGCTACTCTTGGAGCCAGAGCTGTCCAAGCTAATTACTGGTAGCAGCAGAACTGCCTGTTAAGGGTCTGGTGTGGATCTGCTAACATGGTCCTTGGTAGTGACCTGCAAAAGACACGAGGGAATTGCTTTCTTTCTTGCTCTGCACTGCCTGTCCTTTGGGCTTAATGCTGATCCCTCCACATAGGTCTTTTAGCTGCCCTAAGTATAAAACTTGATGAAGGATACTCATATTTTAGAAAACATACAGTTTGCTTGCTTGATCTTATAATTCACAGACTATTATATTCAGCCTGGCAAAGAAAGATTTTTTTGTGTGTGCAGGTTTTTTTTTTTTTTGAGACAAAGAAGAGTTAGACAATATGATTAGCTTCTTTTGCTATTTAACTATTTTATCATTTAGAGTTAATTTTTAACACTCAGACTATATGGTCTTTTTGAAAGCCTGAATGTTTTTTTGATTGCGAGAATTTAGCAGCATATGCCACAGGCATATTATAATTGTCACTGACTTTTCTTAGCTATAAATCAGAAACTTGTTTTATGCGCTATATTATAACTTGTAACTTTTTGTGATTACAACCTTTTCTATGTAATAGTATACTCTTTGAGGAAAAGAGCATATCACATTTAAATCCATACTCCCATTTACCTCAACATACAATATCTTCTATTAGCTCTCAGTATTTGATGCTGATAATGAAGTCTCTTGTCTTGAAAATGATCTTATGAACTGTATATATTTATTCCCATTTTCTGATATTTTTAATAGTTTAATTGAAATATAATTCAGAAGTCTTACAGTTCACCCATACAAATGATATATTTCAGTGGCTTTTGCTATATTCAAAGAGTTGTTCACCATCTATCATTATAATTAATTTTAGAATATTTTCATCATGTCTTCAAAAAAATAATGTTAAAACCTCACACAAGCTATCCGATGTGCCCCTAACACTTCCATCCACTTTTCCCAGACCTAGGTAACTATTTATTAACCTATGTTCTGGGTCTGTGGATTTTCTTATTCTGTATATTTCATATCAATACAATCATAAAATACATGATTCTTTTGTTACTAGTTTCTTTCACTTAGCATAATATTTCCAACGTTCATTCATATTGTGGCACATGTCAATACATTCTCTGATAATATTTAATGACCATCTATCTGTCTCCAAAAATTGAGTGTTAATTTTGGCTAAAGTGAATTAAGTGAGAGACCTCATCTAACTAGTTTTGAGATCTATTCAAGAAAATTCAGTCAGATATTATAAGTATACATTTTGGGATTTATTTTATTCATTAGTGAAATAGAATAGGAAGAAAAAGTAATAAGGCCTTTTAAGGAAAATTAGGGAGCTCTTAAATCCTAGTCTGTTCACTTGGGTAGTGTTTTTACATTGGAAATAGCTCTTTGAATGCAATGCAAAGAGTCATTATTACACCGTGAAAGTTTTCCTTTTATCTTTTTAAATTTGTCAGTGTGATAGTTATTTGTAAGAGTTGTTTTTCAGACCAGTCTCAGTAAATAGTAATGACTTTTTTCATAAAGCATTGAATGAACCTTAAGTTGTCTAGTAGAAGTTTCTTGGGGAAAGTTTATTTTGTGAAACTTTATTCAGTTAACTAAATGTGTTTGAGTTCTGCTCTCATGCACTCTGTTTGGTGAATGAAATGAGAAAACATTAGACAAATGTTCTACTTGCAAGTACTTAATGAACCACATGTTCAGTATGAAACATTCTTAATGAAATGTGATGTCAAAATAAAATTCATATAAAAAAGTATGTTCAAACAATATTTGCAAACCCTCAGTCTTTTATTCATTGATGTTTGTATACTGATGAGGGCAGGAATATTTTGTTTCCCTTTTTCTTACCCTCAAATTCATATTCAGTACAATTGGCTTTTTTACTGTGCAGTTTTATCAACTATAACACATTTAACACTTGAGTAACTAATACCACAATCAAGATGCCAAATATATTTCAGAAACTTTTTTCTTGTTCTGCCCCTTTGTAGTCCAGTCATTCTACCATCCCTACACTTGACAACCACTGATTTGTTCTCCCTTCCTGTAGCTTTGCCTTTTTCAGAGTCAAAAAAATATGCATAGAATCATATAAACCAACTTTTAGAGGACTGGCCTCTTTTGCTTAGTACAGTGCCTTCGAGATTCATTCAGTTTAGTATATCCAGTTTGTTCCTTTTTATTAATAAATGGTATTCCATTGTAAAGGTTTATTACAGTTTGTTTTTCCATTGAACAACATTTGCTTCATTTCCAGGTTTTTTTGTATGCTTATTTTGCATTAATGAATATAGCTGCTATCATAGGTTTTGTGTGAGTATGACTTTCTGATTCTTTAAGGTAAATATTCAGGAGTTGCATTGCTAGATCATATGATCAGTATAAGTAGAACTGTATCAGAACCTGTCAAATCCTTGTCAACTCTTGATGTTGTCACTAATTTTTAAATATAAATAGGTATGTAGTAGTAGCCCATTGTGATTTTAATTTGCATTTCCCTAATGATTAATGGTATTGATTGTCTTTTTATGTGCTTATTTGCTGTCTCTGTTCTTTGACTGAGTCTTTTCAAATCAATTGCCCAATAAAAATGGTTAGTTATTAAAACAATTATAGTTGTTTTTTATTGTTAAAGTTGAAGTTGTGATTTTCCTGGTTCTTGGTTTGATGAGTGATTTTAAAGACTGTCTCCTGCACTTTGGAATATTGTGTTAAGAATCTTGATCTTATTTAAATCTTTTATTTTAACATGCTACTGATGGCATCGTGACTCATGACATCATAAGGGTCACCTTATTAGTATTAGTAAGGGGTGGGAATCTAACCTCCTAATTTGACTTTTACTGATAGTGCATTGAAGGGAGACTGAAGAGGTTTCTACTTGTTGTAGGTAGAGGTCTAGGATTCTTATTCTGTTTTCATTAACTTGGAGTGCAAGACTTCTAATTGTTTTCCCCCCAGTGTTTATGGCTGGATTAGGGTAGATCAACAAGATTTCTTTCTGGCTTATCTGATTTTTTACTGGTCCTTTGCTAAAGAGAGCAAGCTTTCCTTGAGGATTTGTTTGTTTGTTGTCTATTAGCATTTCTGGATTGTGGGCTTCTTTTATTTATTTATTTACCCATCCGTGTATTTATTTATTCATTTATTTATTTTTAATTGTGCTTAGGCCCAATACCTTTATTTATTTATTTTTATGTGGTGCTGAGGATCAAACCCAGGGCCCCACACATGCTAGGCAAGCGCTCTACTGCTGAGCCACAACCCCAGCCTGATTGTGGATTTCTTTAGTTCCTAATTTGGGGTGAAAAAATGAAGTAAACCCAGGAAACTCATTACTGTGAGTTATTCTTCTAGTGTTGTTCTCTACTCCCGAGATTCCTTCTCTATTGTTCTTGCCTGTCCCTTTTAGAGTCGTATTTTTTAACATATTATTTTTAGAGTTTATATATATAATTAGTAGTAATAGGTGTATTTATTCTTTCTTGTTAGGAACCAGAAGTTTCAACTTGTTTTTCTGTAAACTCAGAAGTCTTATTTTTGTGTCACATATTACCCTTTAATTTAACATTCAGCTTTGAGTTTTTAAGGGATGATATGAACTTGATTTCTGCTGTCCTAAGTACCTTTTAAGACTAGAATCCACAATAGAAGATATACTGCTACTACTACTTTTAAATCACATTTTAACTGTGCTTCCAAATATATCTAAAAGTTGAGTTAGCTGTGAAATTTTCAAGAATCTAATTAAACAATATACTTTACAAAACATGATTATAAAGAATGAAGCTGCTGTTGGGCTGGGGATGTGGCTCAAGCGGTAGCGTGCTTGCCTGGCATGCGTGTGGCCCGGGTTCGATCCTCAGCACCACATACAAACAAAGATGTTGTGTTTGCCGAAAACTAAAAAATAAATATTAAAAAAATTCTCTCTCTCTCTTTGTCTCTCTCTCTTAAAAAAAAAAAAAGAATGAAGCTGCTGCTGACATTGTAGTTTTTTTCAAGTATTGAGTATAGTGAGAAGTATTAGTTACTATTATACAGTATGGGACTCTAAGGACTTGTAAACTTTTCATGGAATATAGTTCCTGCTGTACTTCATTTAGATTTATGAAATACATCTATGTATTATTTCAACTATATTTTAATAAAAGATGAAGAAATTAACAATCCATGAACTAATAAGTTGCCTGGCTTCCTTAGTATATTCATATACTTTTTCATTTATTCAATAATAGAACACTATAATTTAGAGCCAGACACTAAAGTAGGGGCTGGATATACAGAGGTTTACTGAAGTGTAATGGTTTCAAAATCTACCTGCCACAACCTAGTGAGATGAAACCACCCTTTGTATACTAGATTGTAAGAACCAAGAAAAGCTTTCAGAAATGCCAGTGAACATACTCTGTTTTCTTGCTCAGTTGAGCATGTTGTCATACCAATGCTAAATTAGACTTAGGAACCT